TATTTTAGAATATTTACAGTCCTAGGGTCCTTCGCTTGCTCAGGTTTCAATACAAGCACTTGCATCAAACAACACCTTTGCAGCCTTGCATAACAAATAACTATTTCACGTTCGTTTCTGTAGTGCGTTTATGTACTGTCAAGAGACCGTCGTGTTTCGAGACTTAATTTTCTTTTGGCGAACGTGACGGAATGTACAAATCGTGCTCCTGGTCGTAAGCGACACGCCTGTCCATGATAATTGTAGTGCCACTCAGTGCTTTAAATCACAAACATCTGAGGAACGCAACTGCGCTTGTCACCCTGAAACATAAGTCGACAAGTCCCATCTGTAATTTCATCAGCACCCTTCTCCTTCAAAACCCTAACGGTCATATTATACTTTTTTTATAATATCAAATGACGGGTCGAAGAAATCATGTGTCTGGTGGTAAGATATACACGCCTTTGCAGTGCCAGTCAGAGCTTTAAAACTAGGAAATCAAAGTTTACATTTGCTATCCAACTACCACTTTAAACAAATTTTAATGTAATAAAATAGAGTACGTAAAAATTATAAACGTATTGCTTTATTGTATGATATCATTGATTTTCGATTCGACCGTTAGCAGTGATCTTATATGTATACGATCATTGATCACTAGGTATTATATATTATATTTCAATCATTTTCAATTGTCTATTCTGACAACTCAATAAATGACGATTGGGTATAGTACATATATGCATATGTATACATTTATACCCTTAGCTTATAATTCAGGTTTTCATTAAAATTCAAAGTGCCAAGTTACAATAATATAAAGTTATTATTAAGTTTTATTCACCGACATGTTGACGAGAATAAGAATATTTAAATCCTATTATAATATCTAGAGACAATATACTTAATGAACTCAAAACGTATTTTTATTTTATCCGATTGCGACTTCAACTTGCCAATATATTAAATGTGCGTAAGCAGATTTCTAATTAATGTAAAATGTATTTACACAATAAATCGCAAAATGTTGCACCTGTGTAACGTACAAGTATCTACGTATCTTTATTATTTGAATTTAAAATACTTTACCTACGTCTACATGTGTTCGTCTGCGTCTAAGACCCAAACAATACAAAAAATATCTACCTGCTAGTCGGATTTAGGCAATGCAATGCGGATTCTTTTAAGTAAACCTCTTGCCGTGTCCCCCATTGAGAAATGCCCGTAGACAGCGGGAGTCGCGTCGATCAATATTATGGTAAAGCTACGCGGAAGTTTACATTCCCCTAACACCGCTTAAATTTGAAACTTAGAGTGACTTCTATCTGATTATTAGTAACTGAACGTTTCGGAATTCATTCAAATGTATATACAGAAAAAGTGAAGTGTATAAATTTTAATGGACAGCAGTGATTCATCGGGAGAGCCCAAGAAGGGGAGTTCGTTCATTTTTATATTTACATCGTATCCCTCGCGGCATGCGCGACGCTTCTCCGCCAGTCTTGTTACTACGGTTTCACGAACGAACACCACTGCAATGAAAGTGATGTAAATATTACTCATACCATAATATTTACACTTGGATTGTTAGTTTTAAAACATAGGCAAGTTACACTAGTGAAGTGTTAGTAAAAATAACATAGTATATGTAAAGGGTTTTGTGTGAAAATGAGACTAAATTGTTGTTGTGAGTCGTTTCTCTTCGATCCAAGTGCGGGCAAGGAAATACCGCACGTCCTCAGTGTATTTCAGGAAACACTTCCAGTGAGGAACTTTTTGTTCTCATAATTCACGCTAGAGGTCAGTATTGATTTGATTATTCCAAACAAATAAATTAATCGTCAATTTCATTTCAGACTGCGTTCGGCGACGTATAGTTAAGCATATATAGCTAGAGTTCAACCACCGACAAGCTCTTCCCTTTTTAGCATCCCTTCTCCGCCCTTTACGCATGATCGATCGGCTGGGTTTAGGGGTTCACTGTACAGTAGGGTGCGTGCGGGGTGTTATACACACTTTGTAGATCGTAGTAGTATAATATGAACTTCGTATATGTTTATAAAACATGCAAGATCTATAGTTACTTTATATAGACCAACGGACATTATAAGTGTAGGTAGCTGTAGGTAAGAGTGTGTTATGTAACATTCGATTTACATTACATGTATATAAGAATACTAAATTAACAACGAATGAATGAGTTTATAGTAGTTACCGTACATAGATAGTAACTAACATGTGAGTATGGTTCGACAAGGGATCTCATTTTATTCACACTTTCTTATATATACAGGGTGTAATCATTAAGTGTGCCCAGGCGATTATTCCGTAAATATGTGTGTGTGTGTGTGTGTGTGTGTGTGTGTGTGTGTGTGTGTGTG